TCTCAGGGTCTAAACAAGTAAGAAAATAAATGGAAAAATCAGGAATCAAGTATTATTTTACCCTTTGTTGCTCAAGAAAGGCAAACTTTTGAGGTATTGTCCACTATTGGGTTTGTTAGATTTTTACTCCAACATCGATAGTGCCGTATCTGCGACCTTCCCCCTTCACTTAACAACCCAATAGCTTCCTTCACCAATTCAAATGTATTTTGTGTTTCGATAGTGAAAATGACAGTAACAAACAGGATAAACAAATTGTTCTCAAACCAAGCACAAATATTATACTATCAATTCTATAAAGGCACAAGAATAAAAGAAATTGGCTAAGGAGCTTTATTTCGAGGCCTGAAATAATTTCCAACCAGCTAAAACGCTAAAAAGACAGTAATAATAAAGGTTGACACTAGAAATATTCATTTTATATTTTATTCCACCCCAACATTTGGTTTAAATAGACGGGACATGCAATCGCAAATTTTGAAATTTTATTTCAAAATCAAAATTTAATTCCTAATTAAAATAAGTGTACCTATTTTTCGGAATTATTATTGAAAATATTTTTCGATCTTAATCTGAAATTGTTTTCTTTGCACATAAAAATTGGCGAAGAAGGAATGCAACGAAATTAAAGATATATATTTCATTAATATAAAGCTTTTAAAAGTAATCAGCATTCTATTTTTGTAAGTACTCAACAATGATTTTCATTCCTTTGATAAGGCTACATAAAATTTTGCATTTATTTTACAAAAGTTTTTTAGCTGTGAAAAGGGAAGAGCTAGATTTGACTGCTAAAATCACGCAAACATGTACATGTACCTAAAAAGTGAGGGAATTGAGTCAAATATAAGGAAGAGTTAAGCATGAATGAACTCAAGAGAGTACTGCTACTTAACAACCCACATCCTGGTATTAAGAAACAAACAAAGAAAACATTTTGGTTATTTTAAATCATTGAATGTCTCATTAATTCAAAAGGTTATAATTGAACTACCACAAAATTTGTGGACCCCGTTTTATTATAGGCCTTCGCTTTAAGAAGAAAATATTTTCCTCAATGAAGTTTTATCTTCTCGTAAGGTTTAAAATTCAACGCACGAGTGGAAAATTTTGATGAAGAATTTTAAGGACAAGAAGGTCCTAGTTCAAGGATTAAAATCCACAATTCACCCCTTCACCCATCAATGTCCGGCACATTATTACCTTCATCCCCACGTACACAGGGCATTGAACAATTTTACAGAGAAACGATGGAAATGCAATAAAGGAAGAGTGTAGAATTGGATTTTTAAAAAAATTTAGATTCAACAAAAAATTTACCGCCATGATCAAGTTTTATAAACGTCTCATGTGGAAAAATATTCAAATCGATTTAAAAAAAGCAAATTTTCAAACTTTAGTGACAATCTAACCATGTACAAGGATTGCAAGATAAAACTCTGATGTGAGTTGTACAAAATCTTTGTTAACAGGGAAAGAAATCTAATAGCTTAATGTCTTTGTAATTATGAAAACAAAAGTAATGCGCTTCCCGTGCGAAAATGCGAGATATTAGTTACAGCTACGTTTGCCCATACGAAGCAATAAAATATAAAAGCCTCAATTAGGGTAATACTTTATCTTTAGCACACAAATATCGAAACCGAAATAAAATTTTGGCAAAATCGTGAAAATACCTTATACCCTAGTACTATTAGTTGAAAATAGAATATTTTCCCGCATTTAGCTAAACAAGAGATATTGCTTCATCTCATATCAAGTGACCTAAAAATCGTGGTTTGTCAAAAATCTAAACCATATTTATTTAAGGAATACCCATCTGTCGAAGACATGCCATTTGATACAGTTGTGGTTAAATAACTTGGTTGTTTTAATTGGTTATTTGATTTCAATTCCGATGGCACAATCATATATTACAAATGGGGTTCAACAAACAAGCTTAATTAAAACAATTGATTTCAAATAATTTCTAGAAATTCGATTTATCGAACATTCATTAGGCTTAGCTAAAAAAGGATAAATACAGGGAGGAACGATTTTAGTAGAAAAACGGAAAAGGAATAAATAAGAAAATTTTAAAAGAAATTCTGATATAGGGCCTAGTGTAAAAAAGGTGAAATATATAGGAAAATCTAAAATTATCATGTATTCGAATATTTTAAAGTCGATCACCTTAAAAGGTCAGGGTTAACTAATTTGGCAGATACACTCTAAAAAGTGTTTTTGCAAAACATACCCAAACGATGGTGTCTTTTTACTAAATAAAAAATTAATTTACTGCTTGTCCATTCACTTTGGCCACGCCCATGAAAAGCGTAATTTTAATAAATTTTAAATCAATGAACTGTGATTCGCCTTAATCAGGAAATCTGTATACTTTTCCAGAAAGGAAGGCAGAAAACGCATATTTCCGGTGAAGAGACTCAAAAATAATTTATAAAAAACAGTATTTTTGTTTTAAGCGAGCATTTTAAAGCGTTATTAATAATTTTTAGTGATTATTTTATCTATTGTCTACTGATCAAACTGAAATAAGAAAACATTTTCAAACTTTATTTTTTTCAAAAATTACTAAATAAATATTTGCTTTTTATCATTTTTGTTCAGTTCATATCGAGTAGAATATGCTCCAACTAAGACGCAGGAAATAAATTTCTAAGCTACTGTTCTTCCTAACCTCATGAACTCAGCAACCAATAAACAATTGGACAGGGCTTCGGAGTAGTTAACTTTTGAGCAAACTACGAAATTTACAATAAAAATAATATTTAAAATTAAGGAAACTTAGGGTCATTGAAATTAGAATTAAGCAGGTTTTCCTATAAATTTGGTTAAAGTTTAGAATTTGGTAATTGAAATCTTAATGCGTTTTGAAAAACATTAAATTTTCGAAAAAACATTGAATGAACATGGGGTGAATTCCTTCAAAGAGAAAAAGAATAGGATCAACAGATAAATCCTAGAATCGCTATCATTTAATTCCACTTAAAGATAGCATGAACTAGCATCGAGTTTAAAAACACATTTCAATGTAAGATGCTGGAAAAGACTGAACAAAAAAATAGACATTTGCACTGGTTTAAAATAGCAATGCTTGTTATTGTTGTTGTTTATGTTTATGCAGAGGTGTAGGGTGTACGGTAAATAAAATGCCCAAGGGTAAAAATAAACGTGTCATATAACGAAATGCAAAAATTTCGATTTGGAAAATTAGTAGTCAACAACCGTTGCAGAGGCAGTTGACAGGATTTCGTCCAATGTTAAAATGGAGGAGGGGGGTTAAAATCATGACCTAATTTGGAATTTCTATTCGTACTTTATAAGGTGAAGCTTACAAGAAGTAAACCAAAGCGCTATATGCGACAACCACTAATTTACGGCATTATGATTACCTAAAGTGAAATAAATTAGAGAAAACATTATATACATATCATAAATAAACTGAAATAAGCGTATGAAATTAAGCAAAGTATCGCCGATTACAAAAAAAACTAAACAGCATTTTCTGAAATAATTAAAGAATTTATGTCGCACAAAAAATTTTTTACTTTAGCTGACCGCGAGGTAGGCCGGCGGCGATAAATTTAGCTTGATCAATAACAGAAATTCGAGAAAAAACGAAAGTATAGAATAAATTATAGTTTTGCCAATATTTTAAGGATAATGAAATCGAGAAATGAAAGGACTCCTTTAAACAGTTCGGCAGCATCAAGTCCAACATAATGGTATAAAATTATATGGGTTTACAAATAATATAACTGAGATAAAGCGAATAAAAGACAATCAAAAGTACGTCATTTCCAGCTCAATTAGCTAAAAATGGTAGCATATTTACATGAGAATATTGAAATACGTATTTTGGCGTTACTAATATTATCTAAATAAAAATATTTAAACATTACAAGCATAATCGTTCCCAAACAAATATCTTTGATCTGTCTTTCTGATAATGCACTGGATATTTAAAATGCCATAACTCATAAATTTAGCCTGTTTAAGTAAGCATAACTCACATTGTCCGATTCGACCAATTTTTTTAAGTTGCGCGCTATAAATTCTGCAATTGTTTAAGTTCATTTCAAGGTAAAATTTTTATTTAAATTGGTGCTATTTTCCTACATTAAAGAATTAATCCTCATTTTAATACAAAATATTCTAATTTATTTATGATTTATAATCTTTTTTTAAATTTTATTTATTACTTTGCTCCTTTTATTTATGAATATTCACATATAACGATACTTTTGCTTCACATCTTTAAACAAGATTTTTGATATGCTCCGATTCCATCAAAGCCGTAAACGGTTGTGTATCTCTATAACTTCATAAATGCACTGCAATCGTTAATGATTCCATGATTTGTCTAAATCGGTATGGCGAGTTACATAATTGATTTCCTTTAACTAAATAATAAGCCTTGACGTCATAGAATAGCCATTTATGCCATCACTAACCTTCTCAATTTGTCACTCAATCAACTGTTCAGTATTCAATGTTCGTCTAACTTGTTTTCATACCTGTTTACATTCCAATCCTGATCTCGAGCCTAAACCAAGAGACCCCGCATACTCGCTTAGGGATCATCTTTTTGATGTCCTCGACTTCGCCTAAGCTTGGGATTGGCACGAGTGCTTGCATTTTCCAATTAATATAAGAGCGCTGAAATGTGCTTATCTGCCGGAGCACTCGACTTTGAGGCCGCAAATTTTACCACTTTCTAAGAGCATAGACATTGTGTCATCTCACAAGTCAAATAAATGATAGAAACCCACGACATTAACTAACTACCTTTTCATCCAATACGATGAAACTAAAGAAACACCGAATTTGCAATAGTTATAACCGCTCATTAGTATAGCCATATGTGCAATGACCGAAGCAACGAATATACAGATTTTCTTTGCTTGGAATAAAAGAAAAGAAGCACAATATAAGACAGAAACAGGGATAAGTGGAAAATGGGATGGAGAGTTGGAATAATGATTCGAGTCGCGGACCAATCACAGCTCGTCCTTGAGTAACGTATAACGATTTCTAGATGGTATCAGCAGCTTGAAAACAGATTCCTAAAGTAAAAAGAAAGTCACCTATTAATAATGTCTAGGAGGAAAGTCAATCAATAAAATTCTACTAAAAGTACCCGTGGGGCTTCTTTATCTCCATCATCATTCTGAAAATAAAAATAATTAAAGTAATCAAGAGTCATAGACACAGAATCTGCGTGCAATATCAAGCTGAAAACCACAAAAAATAAATTTTATTTTGGTAGTAGATACGGAGCCTTAGACGGAAAAAATTATTATTCGGTAGGAAGATGTATTATACCAGAGGGTCATTCATGAGAAAAGCTCCCAGATTTGGCTATTCGGCAATAAACTTAATTTTCTGTGTTCATTGGTGCACAGAAGATGTATATAATTCCCATAACGAGACATCAATGTTTCAGAAACGGAATTACAACAAATTGAATAAATAACTAACATATTAACAAAAGTAAATGAAACGTTAACAGGTCAAACTATTTTCTACCTCAAGGCCTTTCGGGTAATAATCTACGGACTCTTTACGCTATATTTTATGAAGATGAAAAATAAAAACATTGTTCATTAACAGGTTGTAGGTACTAAAAGGGAGCACCAACTCATTAAAACGAATTTATGAGTTCTCGAGATAAACTTACGAGGTGTCCCACTTCCTAAAATAACAAATATATTTAGAATAAAGGGTTTAAAATATACCGTTGTTTTTTTAATCGAACTAAATGTCTGAATAACATTAGTGCACGGGCTTGGTAACAAAACACTAAATGACCTAAGAACGAGAGCAATTAAACCTGAAACTAGTAGACGACTGTCTAACCTAGAATAGTGATGAAGACTTTTATGATTCATCTAAGTAGCACTAGTGATCGATCATGGCCTAATAAAATGATGACGAAGACAAATGCACATACCACACATGGGTGGGCTGTGATCTTCCACTTCAACTACATTCTCGTCAACCCGATGTTGTTTAAGGAGAGAATACAAATAAACAAAAGTAAGCAAGTTTAGATATGCAAATTTAGGATCACTATAGGAGCAAATTACATGATTAGTAAATACCTGTCTAATATATGACAAGTTATTAACAAACAAGATATGCAAACATGGGATACTGAAACCGCTTTTTGTAAAACAGATCAACTAAATTGAATGTAATTATGACACTGCTGTCATTCCCAAAAAATCAATCGCGAATTCAGCAGATAAATCTAGGCCCTAGAGGCTATGGGGCGAGATTGATAAAATTTTGAATTGGGCATGCATATACAGATAAAGGGAACAAACATCCAGGACACGAGCATTCGTCATGGGCTTCGAAATGCGGTAAGAAGACCTACCTGTTGAGGTACTGGCGTTTTTTCCTATAAACAGAATAATAGTCAAATATACAAATGAGTTCATTGAGTAATTCGAAAGGTATTATAACATCTCGTTGGAAGTTGAGTGCTAGTGATTGTGAAAATAGGATATGGTATTTCAAGCAATAATGACAAAAACATTTTGAAATATTCAAAATAGTGAGACTAAGGAAATCCCAAAATAATGTATTGACAGTTATTGAAATCGATAGAACGTTTCTAGTTTTCGTGTTAAAATCATGCTAATGCAGCACACGATTATACCCTTTTTAAACGATTCAAGAAATATCTGCATTGTTGCGCATTCGCTTTCCATCAAGAAGATTGGGTAGAATACAAGATTTTAAATTTCCATAGGCCTTGTTGAATGCCTATCAACATTATTATACAGGATTTTCGACTCATTTACGATACCCTAAACATGTAAAAAGAGTGCTAGAGGTGGTTACTGCAGTTCGAATCCACTTTAAGACCGTAAGTCGACACTAGAGTTAGCACACAGATTTAAGAAAAAGAAGGATCCATAGATGTCAATGGTGATCAGCAATCAGGAGCCCACCACCCTTTATAACTTGAGAGGCCCTGCAATTTGTTGACAAGAGGTTTACCTAAAGGAGGACCCGTTATCACTCGATTATGCCCACCACCACCACCACCACAGGGTGTGTGATAGACTTACCTCCAAGTGGCGCTTCCTGGGCAACGTATACTCCTACAGCAAAAAAGTCTATTAACTGCCAGCTGACTTCTCACTTCAAACTACCATGACCCCACTATATGCCATATTCCACTACTTCCACGGGTTGTCTAGCCGATTAGGAATAGAAATCTAAAAATGGGATGCATAACCTTTTGGCACATAGGAACCCTTTGAATTCATATGACTTAAAGTAACTTTGTAGAAAGTAGCTGCCAAATAAATCATTTAAGGCCAACTGACTAGTCCACCAATAAGTCTATTATATAATAATCCACTTCTTGGTGCGATTATTCTTGTTGAAAAAGAAAACAAAAGATCATAACCAATTTTAAAATTAAATTAGTAATAATAATCAACACTTTTACTTACAGCTGGGTAGTAATAGAAGTGTCAATAATTGCAAAAGAGGGATTATGTTTAAAGAATAATTGCTCAAGCTTCTAGAACATCTTCGTTATAAAGTGAGACAACCTACTAGTTATCTTAAAAGTGCCATAACTATGGTTACTGAAAGATCACATGCATTGAGTGATCTAAAATGAACTAGATAATTGACATCCAAATCAAATGTTAATACCACCAGACAAAAGTGTTCAGAGAAAAAAAGAGTTAATTATGTGCGAAATCGTGGTTAAAGCCAATCGATCAACTAGCAATTATTCAATCAAGTTTCGAAAATATTGATTAATGTTTTATTTGATTTTCAATTAAACTCAACTATCAGCAGCGAATTCTCATTTGCCGATAACCATCACAGAAAGATCAACCCCAACTCTGGCACTCTCCTCCAGACTCTCCTCATTTTCAGACTTAATCAAGTGCTTAGACCTAGTGGGAGCTTTGTGACCACCTTGGACTGCTGTAAGACATATTACTCAAAGAACTTTGCGCCCAAATACTTACCACATCTGGTTCAGGTACACCGTGGAATTGTCGATGGAGTTTATCTGACAGGAGGTCCAAAAGGAAGTTATTTATATGCCTGGGATCTTGCAGAGCGGCCTCCATTTCACCGGAGTAGAGGAACATGTGTTGGAAGGAGTCAATGGCAATAATGGGCAAATCGTTCGGTGTCTTACCCATGTGATTCAGGGGATGAGAGAAGACATCACCATCAGCAATTAAAGGCACTATTTTTCCTATCAGTGGGGGGAAAAATTGCATCAGTTTATTGATTTAAGTTAATGTAGGAACTGGTTCTTTTTCCCATAAACTTCCTATTGCAACACTAATGTACCATAATTTAAACGACAGTAGCTTCAAAAAGCATTAAAGAATGAATAATTCACCAATGATACGATTTAGTAAAAACATTACCTTCAAAAATCAATAAAAAACTATGGTAAAAAACAGTTCCATATTTTTTTATTTCAGAAATTTTATAACTTTCAATTTCTACAGGCCATGAATATTAAACGCGTTAATTTTTCTCTTAAGCACAGTGAACTTACAGATTAACAAATGCGCCACGAAATTGTGCAATTTTAATACAAATTCTAAAGTGAAATTCTCAATTTACAACATTTAAGGCAAAATCGAGCTAACGTTAGTGTTACATCCTACACCAACTTTTCGTCCCTTACGAGAACCAAAATAAGTAGGCCCTTTTAGCCAAAGGGAAAATCACATGACTACTAATAGGGCATTTAAGTAGGAGGATATAGCTCACATACTGCTATAATTGGTTAAATGTTGTTCCATTAGAGTAGTGAAACGATGAATGTAGGAAGTCGAGCCATTGTCCTTATCCCCAGGAGGATAGAAGAGAATGAGTAAAGGAAGACGGGGTTCAGTGATCTCCTCGGCATTGGTGAAAGTCAACTCTCGAACGTAGGGAGTGCAGACTTCGTCAGCCCATTCAAGAAGTTTGTGTAAGTCAGTTAAAATCTCTTGAGGAGGATATTTCTCAGTAAGCGTTGCCGATTGTTGCTCGTTATGTTCGTCTGATTGCTTCTGGTGATCCATTTTAGCATCTAAAGTCTATTTAATTGGTAAAAAAATCAATTGGCATAATTTGACTGTGTGTAGGCATTATGTGATAGCAAAGTGCCCAGCCAAAGTTCAATGCATTAATGTACGACTAATGGACAGAGCAGTTAAAACTGTAAAAAATCAATCGGCCATCATAGCTGATGACGGAATTTGAGTCCCTTACTAGAGAGGTTCCAATATCCCACTACCTATCGTAGGCAAGTGTGTTTGGTAAACAGGACTTTTTTTACATTTTTGTTTAATTGAAACGTCCACATTTCACCTTCAATGAAAACAAATTAACTTGCCCCAACAAACCACTAGAATTCACCAATGGATAATCATCTCTTATATATCATCGGCACCAGGTAAATGCAGGTGATGATAGCCTAATTCTTTGCACAGAAGCATGTTAAAACTGGAAATGAAAATGGTTAAAGAAACACCGTGTCTCGCTCAGTGTCAATGTGAATGACTATTCTAATCAATACATTAGAGCTACTATGAGGAAATCGCTTTGTTTACAAAGAGACGCTTGTGCCCAGACACAGGGGAAAGACAAATTGACCAAGTTTGCCTATGAAAAATGGATTTCGTTTTATTGTCAAGAGTGAGAATATAAACACGAAAGAAGACAAAGAACACGTTTTTCTTTGAAACGGCTTGAAAGCCTGCAAGAATATTAATAGACCCCCATTACCTTCCAAAAACTGTTCTAGAATTAAATTTGCAAATTCAACCACATCCACCATCTTCACCAGACTTCACCTCATCATCCCCTTGTAAATTTCGAGGTATATCTGAAACCGCCTTTTTAGGGGGATACCGAAAAAGTAAATGACTGTGGGATTTCTAGTAAATAGTACCATACGTATTGTTAAAAACTAATTAAAATGTTTTTTAGTGGCCCCCCTAAAATAAAACCACCCAAATTGAGCCCAAATTAGAAAAAAAAGAAGAGGCAGGTATTCATCAAAATATAGAATTTTAATGGCGTTAGTAAAACTACTACCAATGAAATCATGCGGTACATGGGGCCCACTTTGTGCTTTCAGGTAGATTATGATAATACCATGACAACGCTTTGCTTGGGGCCTTTATACTAGCGAAACACCACTTTCACACAACAAAGACGGGCATACTTACCGGGTTTAGTACGAATTTGACCTCCGAGATTCCTTTAGCATTACTAAAATTGGAACAAAAAAGAGTCCCCATAAGCACATGGAGATAATAATAGTAACAATAATAAGATAAGAAATTATCCATTTTGATTCAATCGGTCTAAGCAACGCAGGTATTCGGGGTAATTCTTGATGAAAAAACAAACACGCCAGAGTAAGAGTAGAGGGAAAGATGTGAAAATACTTAATATGCAGAACCTGATTCAGGTGTAGAGAGGTCAGAGGAAAAGTAGCCTAAAATAATGAAACATGTTTCAACATTTTCCAGGAAATTTAAGGCCATCAAGGATTTTACTTAAGGCATATTAATTTAAAAGTTTGCTTAAAATTAAATCACATCGTGAACCTGAAGAAAGTATTCGCGTCATTTTTAAGACCTAACATTGGGACATTCAAAATCATTGCAATCAATTTAATTATAGTAAAATGGGGATCTTTTTTTATTAATATACGTAAGAAATATTTTAATGCAAGTAGAAGATTTCAGCTTTAATATTTGGAAAAGAATCACATCTTGAGAATATCTTACCTATTATATACATACACGCACACAACCTAAGATTCATTTTTCGAAACTTTCGTAAAAAAGGCACTTCATACCTAATTTAGATCAACTAGAATCGATGACAGTGCGCTTCAATCGAAAGGGAGGGGGGAATGCGTCAACTGCACTGACTGACGCAGGACCTTGGAAAGTACAATTTCACAAAAGCTCCAGCACATTTGCGAGAGAAAATGAACACATGACAGAGCATCAGTTAAGGCCGATGGATTAGAGAACCCACCTCGTCTTTATAGAGAAAGTAATTATTTTTTAAAATAAAAACGTTGTCTAAATGGATGGAATTCCTGACATTATTGAATATCGGCTTTAACGACCACTTACTCCTCAATTCCATAGCATGAGCAATCGGTTAAATGATGAGCCATCTTGAAGAATGTATCGTATGTTGGATTGTCACGAGAAAAGGCTGGAAAAGTACCGACCATATTCCGTTTCGTCTTCAAGCCAGTAAGAGGAACCTGAGGGGGTGAAAAATAGATGTGAATTTACTTGACTCAATAAATTTTCTGTTATTTAAAATGGAGGGCTTAATGATACTTATCATTAACCCTTTAGCTGACTTCGGGCTTCACAGAGGGGAGGAACATCAAAGTGAAAAGAAGTGGAGGGAGGGGGGAAAGAAGAGTGATGCACAGATGTAAAAGAGTCAGACACAAAGGTAGAGAAAAAGGTAAGATGAGTACGATGGAAGTGTGGAATATGACACACAATGGGGTCATGGTTGTTTGAAGTCAGAAGTCAACTGCCGGTCTATAAAACTATTTTGCCGTATGAAAATACGTTGCCCGAGGCGCACCACGTGGAGGTAAGTCTATTGCACACCCCGACTCAATAAATTAAGATATGCTTTGACTTTAAAACAAATATCACAACCATATAAAGAATGAAACCAGTATCAACTAATTACTTTGGCTGAAATACAGAACCAATAAGCATAAACAATTACGCGTTTGGATAAACTAATTCGGAAGCCTGGATATCGTAGATATAATCTACATCAATCTAGAAGTCAGGGCATCGGAGATTACGATGTAGTTTTTACTCGTCAGAATATTGGCATCCAATTTTATCCATTATTTAAGCACAAGTTTCCC